TATAGAGAATGCAAAACAATATACACAGGTACTGCGGGTTAGGTCGGTTTTGGGGAGAGAGTGCTTGGTGAAATGAGGTTTATTGGATCTCTTCATTTTTGTTTGGCAACCTTATCGCTTCAGAATGTATGAGGGACGTATGGTGAGTTTCATCGTAAGAAATATCCTCAAATAATTAAATTCTCGTTTTATATCCCTATCAAATATAACACATTTTTGCATATAATGCCCCTTTCTCAAGCCTCCATATGATGTTAACATAACATTGAGTTGAAGAATAACAATAATAAAACCTATAGACACATGGTCATAGACAACGCCAAAAGACGACAGACCAGTTGAATGAGTTTGTTGTAGACCTTTGGCCAACACTCAACACCCGATGCGAAAGTTGTTGTCAAGAGAGGGCGCTGAAGTCGAACGGCCCTTTCTGATACTTGTTCATTATGACTTTCCAGAAACGCTTTGTAGTAGCCTGCATTGTCCACTTGTGAATGGCGTGCCGGAAATCATACACGCATCAAATTTGAGTGTCGCGATTAGCTAGGCGGTCGATAAACTATGAAAATATGTAATTTAATGTTTACTACACAAAAGGAAGTGGCTCCTAAATTCACCCAGTCGCTCATAAAAAAATGCATAACAATTTTTAGTATTACGAAAAAAACACCATTTCTACCTATCACTAAGTGAAGTTTCATTTGTGCATTTGTAATCGTGGTTTTATATCAAATCAGTACCGTTACGTAACATAACGGTTAATTAGTATCATTCCTCTGTGTTTCGACCTATACTAAATTTTCTGCACCATTCATTTTGGAATATAAAGTCTGATTAAAAATAAAAATAAAAATAATAAACAAGACAGAGAGACGGAGAGAAACCTCTACACCATACATTTTGGAATACAAAATATGATTTAAAAAATACAAATAAAAGAAACGACAATAAAAATCTTGGAGAGAGAGACGGAGAGAAACCTCATGTTCTTAATCATTTGCTCACTTATTCTGCACTTATGCCAACGCACACATGAGAAACATATATACGATTTGGGAGTAATCATAGTGGTTCTGAGAATCAAGGGAGATAAGCGGTACGAGAAGAAGACATTAACAGAGAAAGCAGGAGGGAGAGGGAGGATAAAAGAAGTGTAAAATGAAGAAAATAAGATAAAGGAAAATAGGATAGACGAAAGGAAATAAAAAAAAAATCGAAGGATACGAAATGGAGATAAAAAGGGAGGAAAAAAGACAAAGACGAAGACAAAAAGGAAGAGGAGAACGCGAAGAGAGTGAAAGCGAAAAAAAAAAAAAAAAAAAAAAGAAATGAGAAGACGAAAGAAAATCTAAAAAAAAAAAATAACGAAAACAAAAGAAAAAAAAAAAAAGGAAAAGTGAGGTGTAGATGGAGTTTCAAAATGCAGTGAGCCTCCTCGCACCGCCAGCAATAAGAGGCAAGGAGGTCCGTCTGGTCACTGAACCCAAGAACAGCCGTAAAACAGAGAAGGATCACAAGAGAAGAATCAAATGCCTCATCGGGGGAGTCAGGAAGATCTTGTTCATTTTAGATACTATTAAATACTGTTTTGAATTACACCTCATGAATACCGATCCTCCAGTGTCCTCCTCTTATTAATGTAGCTGCAGCAGACAATGCCAGGCGTGAGGAATTAAAGTCGGAATGTCGTCCAAGTTATTTTTCTTCTTGTATGAAAACGAGGATTTTGCTGTCTTTTATCAGCTGATCGGAAAGTGCTTCGATAGTAAGATAGGAATGCATTATACACACAAACATATACGATACGTACAAAAATACGATGATATAATTATACACACACACACACACACACACACACACACACACACACACACACACACACACACACACACACAACACACAAGAAAAATAAAACATACACACATTCATATACTTCCACATACATCCAACATCCCCAATATATTGCATATATATCTATACACGTATATACATCCACAACTACGCACATTCAAAAGAAAAAAAAAAAAAATAAAGAAAACAAAGAACATCGCGTGTCACAGGCTCCGCCCACGAGACCTAGGCGACTCCGAGGCCAAGCAAGGCGAAGCGGCGAGCGAGACTTGGCTACTTTGTTTACACTCGCCGGAGGATGGGCGGCCGAGGAGCGGGTACAGGGCACAGTTGCCATATGCAGCGAAAACTAAGGGCTAGATGCGGGTGGGTCGGGGTGGCGGCGGCGACGTGGAGGAGCAGGAGGAGGAGTTTTCTTATCCACACAGGTTCATAGATTGAGGAATATTTGTCGTCAACGTGGGTACGACTAGTGGTATTAGCAATGGTTGAGAGGAATATTTGTCATTAACATTGGCATTACTGTAGTGGTATTAGCGATAATTGGGAGGAATATTTGTCGTCAACACTGATATTACTGTAGAAGTATTAGCAATATTCTATGAGTGTAAAAAAAAACAAACATTGATCTTACTAAACTTGTTGAATTAAAAACATCGTAATGGTAATTTGGCTACCATGCCTTTTTAAAGAAAGAATTGTGATAATTTGAATCATTGGCATGATTGATAGTGTTATTTATCAACCGCATTGTGATTACTAAGATATGCAATAAAGATAATGACATTGTCAAGATAATTGCTAATGTGATGTTAATAATGTTAGGAAAGACAACGTAATAAGGATGACGCCAAAGGGGAAAATCTTCAATGAAAACAAAAAATCATAACATGTTTGAGCATAGAACAACATAACATATAACATCGTAAAATACATTTCATATATATAAAGATAATGAAATAAGGAATCAACAATGAAAATAAGATTTTATAGAAACGTTTATACATCAGGTATAGTATATATATATATAATATATATATATATATATTATATATATATATATATATATATATATATATATATATATATATTAATATATATATATATATATATATATATATATATATATATATATATATATATGTGTGTGTGTGTGTGTGTGTGTGTGTGTGTGTGTGTGTGTGTGTGTGTGTGTGTGTGTGTGTGTGTGTGTGTGTGTGTATGTGTGTGTGTGTGTGTGTGTGTGTGTGTGTGTGTGTGTGTGTGTGTGTGTGTTGTGTGTGTGTGTGTATGTATACACAGATATATACGTGTTTGTGTGTTTATACGTCCACGCACACGTCCAGGCAGACCCCGTGGCCTGGGAGATGCCCCCATGTCTCTCGCCGCTCGTTAGGGACCAATTTATCAATCAGTTCGAGTTCCTTCGACCGAGATTGCTGATTAAGCTCTGCTATCAAACTGCTTGAAGAAGTTACTGTTGGGTACTTATGATACAGCAGTTGATCTGTGCGAATTTATTTGCTTTTAATCAATAGGTACTCATTATCAACAGTATTTTATTTCACTTCGAATCGTAAATGGTATTGATAATGAGTTCATTTATTCAGTCGATTAAGTTATACGATGGAATGGATTTGTGTAGTTTTGTAACATTTCTTGGGAAAGAAAAGAAAAGAGAAGAAAAGGAAGAGAGCCACATAGAAAGAGGAAGAAAGGATAACTAGAAAGAACAGACGAGAACAATACTAAATAAATAAAATGAAGAAAAAAGTAAGTCTAGAATGAAAAGTGGCGAAACTAGACGATGGAAAAAAGAAAAAGGCAAAATATAAAGGAACTAAGTTTCACGTGCGCACCTTAAGTGAGCAAATTGTGCGAATTAGATAGAATGTATCAGATACGAGGGTTGAGATACTGAGCAAAACCAGCGACATGCGACAAAAATCGGTCGATAGAATAAATAAAAAATAACACTGCGTAAATGAACCCAATTTACAAAACGAAATAAATGCAGAAAACAATACACGAGAGAACCGTAAAATGAAATAAGAAAAATGCGAGAAAACGCAAGTAATGAGCAGTCTCAGCGAACCTTGAAAAGTGTCACCGCGACCAAAGACTCTCCTGTTGTTCCTCAAGAGGCCAAGAGCGGCGCCTAGTGACTTCTCGCCGTTGTCTGGCAGCAGATTCTCGCAGCGATGAACAATTTATGGCTTTCCCCGCCCGTGCTGCGTGATTTGTTCTTATATTTATGACGTAATGAGTTATTAGTCTATTCTGTTAGGTTGTCGGGTTAGGTACAAGTCGAAGAAATATCTAAATCACGAGTTTATATCTGATTTATTTGTGTGATTTATGAGTCCTCCCTCACGTGTTTCCCCTTCACAGCTTCTCTCACAGTGGCACGATACAGCAGGAGCATTTCCTCTGCTTTTCTGTGTGCGTGTGTGTGTAATGATGAGGAGGAAGAGGAGGAGGAGGAGGAGGTTGGGGCATCCCAGTGTACGTGAGGCCAGACCTCCCCTCCTAACGTGGTGGGTTCGACCTTCTTCCTGCGCGCGAACAACCACCCTCTCACTCCCGCTAAAGAAACCGGCGACAGTGGTGTTTATGAGTCATTGCTACGTTTTCTTTTTCATTCGGGAATAGACTGGTATTTTCTCTTACGACGACATTGTTACGCTTTTTCAATGGCCAAAGTGAGGAAAAACGATTCATTTCCACTCGGAATTTAGCGTTTGTCCTCGCGCGTTGGCCAAGGGATGGTGCATAGAAGCGAGCGTAGGGTTTCGGACGCAGAGGCGTCTTGACTGAGGGGAGGCACTGTAATAAAATACGCGCTGGCTGAGGACCCAGCACCCCGCCATCAGTTACACCAATCTCTCGCCAACGAATCCCCTCATTCACTTGAGAGCTGCATGCCTAATTGCACTGCGAATCGCCAATGAGCATGAGCCGAAGGCCCTGGGAACCCCGAGGGCCTGCGTGAGAGCACAGCGCCTTGGGCAGAATCCGCGAGGGGGCGAAGAGGTTGGCGGCCTGGTATGTCGGGAGGCCGGAGGGAGGAGGGGGCCGAGGGGGAAGTCGGGGGTGTGAGGGAGGCTAAAACTGGGGGCTGGGGGGTGCCAGTGCCAGATGCCTGGGCA